AAACAACTAGAAAGGATCAGTATAAAAATAAGTAGACACAATGTGTCTATATTATTCAATGAAACATGTTTGAATGAAGATATGCTGCTTATATATATATATATATATATATTTATTTAGGCAGCTTGATTCTTCAAGGAAAATTGAATTGAGTTTTATGTGCTGCTGGTGTATTTTATATAGAGAAAAAAATTACAATTCTTTTCCTTCCCTGCCGTGCGATCTGATTGATACACCGAAACAGTCTTACTGTGGATAACCATATACATATATATTAAAGACGCCATATATTTTGTGTTGATTAATTTCATTGATCAACTTTTCAAAATTATGAATAATCCTTCTCAGATAAGGAGGAAATTCTGTCAGAAATTATCCAAAGTTCATTTCAGAAAAGATATGGTCTAAGTTTTTGGGTAGTTAGAGACAAATGGTGAGCTTTGTAGAACTAGTGAGTGTAGTGACATAGGCAACGGGTGATGTGTGTGTGTATGTGTGTTTTTTTGAGATGCAGGTTTTTAAATTAGAATGGTTTTTATGTATAGACAGTTGGTTTTGTTGTGTTAGTATTGCTTTGAGGATCATATGTTCATTTTTACTATTTATAAAATGAATCAATACAAAATGTCTGTCTTCTTTAATAACATTTGCCTTAAAGAATATTTGCTGCTTAAATATACTGACTATATATATATATATATATATATATATATATATATATATATATATATATACAGGGTGTACCTGAAGTCTGGATACATAGGAAATATCTAGAAATGTCTGCCTGCATCCCTATTTGCATGCATCATCCATTGGTATACTAAGCTACTCACGACCCCCTCATCTTTTTTACAGTATAACCTTCACACAGGTTTGATTGTTCCTAAGAAAGTGTTCCCATCAATAAAACCTTTTTGTGTGGTCATTGCTTGGGGTTAAATTGTTTCAATGTTTTAGATACTCAGTAAATTTCCTATGGCTGTAATAATTTTCAAATAGTATGGCACTGTTCAACAAATCTGATAATCAAACAAAAACAGGGATGAAGTGTCAGTGCTTAACTCAAGTGCAAATGCATGAACATCCCCTCCTTCTTCACATGTTTACTGTAAAGCTGGAGTTCTTTTGGAATTTTTCCCTTTTAATATTTCAATAATGCTTCTCAAACAATCTTTGCATCAAAGGTTATTTGATGCCAATCATATGAAGAAACTATTGGCTAAATGGTAAAAGCCGATTTTGGACCTAGTTTGTCACAGATTTCACCTACTTAACTGAAATAATCAAACATTCATGAAAGACAATTTGTCTGTCATATGTACTTTTAGGTGTCAAATTTGG